TGCCCACTGCCCCTGACTCCTGTTGGTCTATTTTCTGGATTCCAGGATTCTGTTGAGGTCACTGTGGCAGCTGAGCCTTTCCTACCCCTCCCCAACATGTTCTGAGTTCAGTTGACTGTGAGGATATGAAGAGGGACCATTCCTGGTATGGGGGCCTCTACATCATGGGACAGTTAGGAGAGGGTAGAGCCTCCAGGTGGAGCCTATTGAAGTTGTTTCTTGTGTATGCTTTTAGTATGTTGGTGGGTCCACTGACTCTCTCACAGTAGAATGTATCCTGGAGGAAGTGGCCCTTGAAAAACTTGCATAATACCAGAAGGGCAGGTTAGTGTGGCCTGGTCCACACATTGAGGGATAAGTCATTGCATCCTCCCATCACTTAGGAGATGGGCACCCTTATCACTGCTATGTGATCAAGCTCCACAGCTTCGATGCTGCAGTTATAGAGCAGGTAGCCTTGTGCTAAGACAGATCACAGGACTGTCTGGGGTGAGGTGTGTGTGTTGGGATGTACAGTCTGCACTACAGTGGGGGTGATGAGGCATCTCTGAAGCAGTAGGAGCAGAGGGACCAGGGTAGCAAGGCAAACTGACATCCAGGGAGCAGCATCTGGGCACGGGAGAGTAAAGACTTGCCGACGTAGCAAAGAAGCAGGGGTCATGTCTGTTTTTTCAGAGAAACAGGAACCACAGTAGGGCTTTACATCAGGACATTATGCTCAGAGTGATCCTTGGAAGATGCACACTGATGGCTGCATGGACTGGAGATCTAGGGAGGGAGGAGGGTGCACCAGAAGAGTAAAGAGGTTGTCTGGGCAGTGATGGTCTGCAGATGCTTTGAAATAGGAGGTAGTGAGCAGCACGCAGATTCGGGGACACAATTTGGAGTCAATGTAAAGTGTTCAGATAAATGATTTGACCAATAGTTTCTGCCACACACAGACTAGAACCCAGAGCACAAGTCTTCAATTCCTGGGTTTGTGTTTGTATGAGGTGGGCACACAGACATTCTTAAAGGAGGGAAATATTTTTTGGTCATCCCAACCCACTAGGTGCCAGGGTCTCACATCTTGTATCATGCATGTGCTGCTGCCACCTGGTATAGTGACTCCCATAACTCAGATAAGCAGACTAAGGGCAGAAAGGTCACATGCTTGTCCAGCATCATCAAAAACATAGGATGGGGCAGTATGGAAACCTGGCCATGTGACTGGTTCCAGAGCACATCTGGCTGTCCCACACAGCATAGCAACAAGAAGTCATAAAATATGCAGCTGCCTTGAGATTCTCAAGCCTGGCTCATGAACTCAGGCAAATCCCTCCTGAAGTGGGGAACTCACTACCCAATCTCTGGCCTGCCACAAAACAGCCACAGGATGCATCCAACTTCTGCCTCAATGTATGACTGGAAAGATGGGAACATCCCTTCTGTCAGGAGTGATGAGGACTGTGTAAGGCACACTTGAGAAAGGCTATTTCAGCTCCTGACCATACTGAGCCTCAGTTGAGAACAGGAAATGGTGAAGCTCTACCCCAGGCACTCTCTGAGGCAGCCCTGGCTCTCTTGTATTGCAAGGTCAGTGCTAATATGTCAGCTCAGTCTGATGGGAGAACCCACCATCCACAGGGAAAGAGATGGGTGAAAAGTATGAACAGGCAGCTCAGAGATGAGTAAGCAGAGCCTCTTCCCTTCTCTGGGAAATATGAATCTTGATGGTAGAGAGTTCCATGTGTGACACCCACTCATCTGGTCAGGAACATGAAGGTCTGGCAGGGGTGGTTCCTGCCACAGTCATAATTAAACACAGCTAAAATAAAATAATTTCTTGGGTGAGGAATGTATGGTGAATTCAAAGCTAGCAGGGCCACAGACACCCCTCCACAACATTTAGAACCAAGAAAGCTTGGCATGGGAGAGACAGGGACGCATCCAGGATGGAGGACCATTGCCCAACCATTGTTGGGTTTGAGGAGGGTTCACTATTTAAAACAAAGAACTGGGATGTAGCTTAGTGGCAGAGCACTTGCCTAGCATGCTTAAGGCTCTGAATTCAATCTGTAGCACAGGAGAGGGAGGGAGGGAAAGAAGAAGAAGAGGAAGAGGAGGGAGAAGGAGGAGGGGGAAAGGGAGGAGGAGAGGGGAGAAGATGAGAAGAGACCTTCTTAGGCCCCTGAAGGTCTCTCTAAACCAGGGTAGCAGCTGGTTAGACTGCTATCGTGCCATACACCACATGGAACAAATTCTTGCCATTTATTCACATGTAAGACGCACTGGCTAGTCTGCCCTATTAATTGAGCCCCCTCCCTGTCTCTACCTGTGGCCACATTTTCACTCTGTTCTTTCTTCTGTCTGTGATCCTGCTCACTGGCTGATGAGTCTCTTTTTTTGCTTCCAGACGCAGAGCACTCCCTCCATCTTGGAGTCCCACCTCTGAGCCTTCTCCAGCCCCAAAATGCCTCACTTGGGTCACGGGCCATGCTTGCTTGTTAATGTGGGCTCAGTTAATGTCCCAGTAGTGACAACTCACACTGAAGCACTGGTCCCTAGCAACCCAGAATGTAACTGTATTTGGAGAGAATGTCTTTAATGGGGTGATTAAGTTAAAATGAGGTCATTAGGGCAGACCTAATTCCATGTGGGAGGTATCCTTTCAAAAGAGCCAGGAGAGCGCCTACAAGGTGCATGCACAGAAGAAGGACCAAGTGAGGTGAGGGCTCAGGAACAAAACAGCCTTATGCTCAGTGGTGCAGGGATTACCTAGTAGTAAAGTGCAAGGCCCTGGGTTTTGTCCCCAGCACCAGAAAAAAAGTCTTATGCATGTGAAGGAGAATGAAGGAGAGGGGCCTCAGGAGAAACCAATCCTGTTGGACCTTGATCTTGGACTTCCAGCCTCTGGAGCTGTTGGGAATAAACACTGGGTATTTCAGTCCCAGCAGTGGCACTTTGTTCCTTTCCCCAAGAGGTGATCAGAGTGGAGCTCCCAGGCTGGTCAGCAAAGCATCTTGCCGTTGGGATGGACACACAGCCAGAAGTTAAACCTCATTAGCTGTGCAACCAGAGCTAGCCTCGGGACTTTTGCAGCGATGCTGGAGATAGCCAAGGCTCTTTCCTAAGGACTTGAACCAGAGTGTTGTGGCCCTGGGGCTACAATGGCCACCGGGCTGTCCTAAGAGGCAGCTTGAGATTATTAGAAAGCAGTGCTACCTCTGGTCCAGATGTTCTGAAAGGCAGTATCACCCCTGGCTTTCTAGTTCCTCAGGCATTTCAATGGCCCTCATTTTATTAGGGTGTGTTAAACCAGGTCTCAATTTCCAGATCCAAGGGGCCTTGTCTGGCACATATCCATGGCCTTTCTGGATCTCTACACAAAACCCCAGAGACTCAGAAGAGAAGGCAAACTAGGAAACTCGGGCAAAGCTAGGACTAGAGTGGGAGGGAGGGGGTCAGGTGGGGGAAAAAGGAACGTTCAGCATAGGGAGAGGGCTAGCTGCCCACCCCCTACTTGCGGTTTCCTCAGATCCTTAGCTGAGGACATGGCAGCTCTGCATACATACTTCCTTTGCAGCTAGGTGTAGCCATGTGACTTAAGTTCTGACCAACGGGACGTAAGAAGGTGTGTGGGGTGGAGTTTTTGGGAAATCTCTATAAGGGTGGGTCATGTGTCCTGGGGTTCAGAGTGTCAGATCAGCTCCATATGCCAGCAGCCTCAGCCCTCATCCTCATCCTAGAAGGCAGCCGTAGTCAACTGAGGTAACCCCATGGAGGGGAGCTTGGTGGAGGAGCTAGAAATCCCAAACTTGGAGGCATGCATTTTGGTGTCCCAAACAGGATACTTGTTTGTATAAAAGAAAACCAAAATGCAGCAGGGGATGGTTTCTCAAGGTGCCTGGGATGTATTTGAAGCTAGGACAAGGCTGAGTGGGCAGAAAGGGGCTGAGGTCTCAGCAGCAGTGGTTTCCTGCTGGTTGGAGGGAGCCACTGAAGGGTCTTTAGAGAGTAACAGCATGCTTTAGTTTCATGTTAAAACTGTTCTGGCCTAATGGGGGCAGCAGGGGGATGGGGTGGGACCAAACAGCCTGGGAGACCATGTAAGGCCTGAGGAAGCAGCCAGGATTTGGAGGTGGCTGGACTTGGGCTGGGATTTTGAGAACTCGACTGGACTTGCTGGTGCTAGGGCTGAGAATTCAAGGGTGCCTTTGCAGCAGAGTTGGATAGATGAATCCAGCCCAGAGGGATCTGTGTTTCTCTGTCCTTCAGGGACATTCACAGTGCAGAAATGAGTCTGTTGCGTTCTTGAGCCTCCAAGTCTAGACACACACAAGATAGCTGACACACTCATAGTCCCCCCATGGTTCAGAGCCTCCAGAAGGCCAGTGCCATTCTCTGCCCCCCTTCTAACCATACCAGCATCATTCCCTACCCTGTTTCTACCACAAGGTTCTCAGGATTGCATCACAGGTCAAATGTGTGTGCACATGCCATCCCCCCAAAGCACTGCTGCAGGCTTAGAAGCTCACAGGGACCAGGTGGACCATGTGGACCATGTCACATAGTTGTGCAGACTGGGCCACAGTATGGAGCAGTGGGGACTGTGGCAGAAAATGTGCTCTCAGCTCTAACCCATCACAATCATGCCAACACACACACAAAGTCACCAGTAGATCTGTCCATTTTCCAAAGGAAGCTGGAAATCCCAGTTGTGGGTAGAGTGCCTCACTTTTAAGTTCTGGCCTCAATTTTATATAAGTGTTAGAATGGCCAGTGAGCCTTTGGGCTGTTGGTTGGTTCACGGCATTGCCTGAAACCAATGAAGTAGCCTGGCTTCCAGCCATAATCCTGGCCCTCAGAGGGGAGACCTGAATTCAAGTCCCACACCTTCAGAAGTCCATCTGTAGAAGCACTGGAGCACATGGCAAGTGATGGGGTCCAAGAAGGCTTTGAAGGGCATTGCCCCCCATACCCTGGAAGGCCCTGCTTGGGGTGTCTGGGTGAACACATACCCACTTTGAGCTCCTTCCCGAAGACTGTGCGCTCCCCCAGTGCTGAGCAGTTCCAACGACCATTTCGGAACTGAAACTGACACTCATCGAGGCCCATTTGGGAGCCTTCTCCTATGACGATGATGGCGTCGGGCCGGCTCTGGCAGATTGCCCGCTGTCTGGGAGCCAGGCCTGGGATCTTGTTACAGATGATGCTCGCACCCAGAGCTACCACAGAAGAGAAGCCACTGGAGGGGACAGAGAGACAGAAGGTGAGACCTGGAGGAAGGCTGGACAGGCAGGTGCTGGAGGGGGCAGTTTCATCTCAACCCCTAGGGTGGACCACCCAGAGAACCACAATGGGGAGAGGTCTGAGGAAGGGCAGGTTTTGGACAGATTTTGCCTACAAGTCCTCTGGGCACCTAGATGGCCACCAGGAAATGTCCACCCCTCTAGAGTGCACTAACACCATGGAGCCCAAACTTGAAACAACTTTCTAGCACTCAGCGGGGTGTACTTTGGTTCCTTCCCTTCCTTCATTTTCTGTGTGACCTGGAGCAAATTGTATTCCCTCTGTGTTTACATTACTAAAAGGGGGCATTTGACAATTAGCACCTCAGAGTGTTTCTGTGAAAATTAAATTGTGAAAACCTGAAAAGTGCTTAGAAGGTGTGAGGTACATATTGAGGTGTAATTATTTTTCAATCTGCTAGTTCTCAGGGGCCAGTCATCTGATCAGTCCAGGTAAAATTAGAATACTACAGATGTGCCACCTTGAGTGAGAGCCCCAGGGGCCAATCCACTCTACCAGACTGGGGCACCTTTGAGGAACTTTGCCGCCTTATCCCTCAGGCCCCTTTTATGGACAGTTAATTGGAGCCTCGGAGAGCAGCACTTTTCAGTGGTCCAAAGTCACTGCAACTTGTAGATGGGACCTTCTCTAGGTGCCCTAGAGGGTAGCTTATTGGCTGAAGACCACGCCCTCTTGACCCCCCCACTTCCTGACCCCCCCCACCCCCCCTCCCCTCGAGCAACAGGGCCCTTAGCTAGCCTACGAGGCCCAGGAGCGCCGATCAGTCAGGGAGGTTATTCTCTGCTGTTTTTCCTTTCTCCAGTCTGGTGTCTCTGCCCCGCATGCAATTAAAAAGGAGATAATGCCTAACGCGGCCTGAGCCAATAGGTCGACCCGCTTCCTGGATGCTTGATGAGTAGATGAGCGCGGGCCAGCAACGCGCGGGCCAAGATGAAGATTAAAGCGAGAGACTAAGAGAAAGGGAGGGAGGGAGGGAGGGGGGG